ATATCCGTTGGCCATGAAAAGGCGCTGAAGATAGCGGAGTTCTGTCCTTCTGTCATCCGGTTCGCTGCAGTGTGTTTCTGCTCTACTGTAGAGAGTTCGCACACAACTGCGTTTGTGACATAACGGGTGTTTACTGTGATAGGCGCAACCACAACGGTCTGTTCAGCTACTCAGTTTCTGGAACGGCTCAGAGGAACGCGACTCACTGCAGACGAGGTCGTGGTGTCATTTGATGTCACCTCTCTCTTCACTTCAATCCCGCAGGACCTGGCCATCGAAACGGTCAGCGAATTACTCGAGAGGCAGTATGACGAGACGGAAAAGTCAGTGAAGCGCAGACATCTAGTCCAACTATTAAAATTCTGCCTGAAGACGTACTTCACCTTCGAGGGGACCATGTACGAACAAATTAAGGGGACGCCGATGGGATCGCCTCTCTCCGGCTTCATCGCTGAGGCAGTTCTGCAAAAACTAGAGAGCCTGGTTTTCACCACTCACAGGCCAAAGTTTTGGACTCGGTACGTGGACGACACCTTCGTCATCATCAAGCGAGAAATGATCGAGGAATTTCACATCGTCCTGAATTCCGTCTTTCCTGACATCCAATTCACGATGGAGGCAGAAAACAACAACCAGCTGCCATTTCTGGACGTTCTTGTCCATCGAAAGCCCAACGGGCACATAAAAACGACGGTGTACAGGAAGGCTACCAACATACGCCAAATCCTAAACTATCACAGTAAACACCCGTTATGTCACAAGCGCAGTTGTGTGCGAACTCTCTACAGTAGAGCAGAAACACACTGCAGCGAACCGGATGACAGAAGGACAGAACTCCGCTATCTTCAGCGCCTTTTCATGGCCAACGGATATCCCCGTAACTTCATCGAGCGCAGCAGGCAGTCTAAACCAGGCCAAAATCGGGTGACAGAACAGCCAAAAGTCTGGCGTGCACTGCCATACATCGACGGCGTCTCTGAGGCAGTTTCCCGCCTCCTAAGGCCCTTGGGGATCGGGATCGCTCATCGACCTGACTCAACCATTCGGCATTTGGTTATGAGACCGAAGGCCCCCCTGCCACGAGGTGAGACGACAAACGTCATCTACCGGGTCCAGTGTAACTCTTGCCAAGCAAACTACGTCGGAGAGACAGGCAAACGGTTACAAACTCGCGTTAACGAACACATGCGGGCAGTGAGGAGAATGGACCCATTGTCTCTGGTGGCGGAACACTGCGCGGACTCTGGACACACTTTTGCCTTCCAGAACGCTAAAATTCTGGGTCGAGGCAACGACCGCGTAGCCAGGGAAACGATCGAGGCCTGGCACACGGAAACAACCTCAATAAACCGTTGCGTCGCCCTCCCGGCAGCATACCAAGCCCTCCGGACGCAGCTCAACGAACTAAAGGGCAAGCGCGAGGTCAGGCCGGACGTGGATCTAAACACGGGAGAGCCTACGACGGACCTACACGTAGCCACACCGCAAATCGGGCCCGACGAAGGCGCAGTCATCAATACTGTTGCCTCAACTACTACTCCGGCAGACGGGGAGAAACGCGATCAGAGGGATGCAATCAAGACTAGCAACCCAGCACGACAATGAAGGTCAACGCGAATGCGGGCGATGGCCACCAACGTTCAAATGCCGCCCCCCGACGAGAGACAGGCAGATTGACAGCAGTCACCCTCCCTCCCGCTCTGCCCCGGCGACTACAGAGACGATCCCTGTGCGTATGCGGGCCATTAGCGCCAAAGCCGATTAACCATCCCCCCCCCTATAATTACCACCGTGTTAGCATGACTGATATCTATCCCCCTCCTATAAATACTGTGTGATGCCGTACGATACTCACCTCCGACGATGAAAGCTTGTCTGCTTTTGAAACGTCAGGACAATACAATCATGGTTCCCGAGATCGCCTCTTCTTCTCATATATATATATATATATATATATATATATATATATATATTGGAACGCAGGCATCCCAAGAAATATAAATTGAAATCAAAAACGTTCTTTGGGAATGGGAGAAAACTTTATTGAGTAAATTTTCGACGTCGGTTCCCCGTGTTGTCGTCAGACTAGAGTAAATGTGCTGAAAACAATTAAAATTTCATACGTGCCACAAAATCAATACTCATTTGGTGCCTCAGCTAGTAATCTGCCTTCGTGTCAGTCCGTATTGATCGGCTTTCGTCTCTTCCACTTTTCTCTGAGATTCTTGTACGTGGCATCTAACTCGATATGCCTGTTGATGCATGACTCATCGAAGTGCATGGCTTCAAGAAACTCTCGGCCTTTTTAGATGGGCAAACTCCGACGATGCGAGTTTTATCCCATGCGAAATTATGCCCAGTATCAAGAGTGTGCATGGCCATTTGAGACAAGTGGTCTCGCCTCTTAACTGCACGTTGATGTTCGTGGATGCGTGTAGAGGCACATTTTCCCGTTTGGCCACAATATACGGCATCACAGGCTTCGCATGGGATCTTATGGACGACTTCTTTTTTATTGAGATAGCCAACCCTATCCTTAGGGTGTACAAGCTGAGTGCGTAAAGGAGTCGTCGGCTTGTGCGCCACTTTTATCTGGTGTTTCCTCAAGTGTCTTTCAACAATTTCAGACACATTCCTGATGTAAGGAAGGATTCGCCAAGTGTTTGCTTTGGGCGCTTGATTGGAACTATCTAGTTCCTTTGTTTTTATCTCTTGTTGTTTCATGCATCGACGTACGAAATCTCTCGGGTATCCGTTCTGGGAAAATAATTCAAATAGGTAGTTTAGTTCAACTTTGTAGATTTCTTCATCAGAGCAATGTGTTTTTGCTCGATGTATCAGACTTTTGACAGTACTCCGCTTGTGAGAGATCGGACTGTTGCTCTCATGGTGTAGAATTATTTCTGCATATGTTTCTTTGCGGTAAACGGAGGTGTGTAATGTTCCGTCAGTCTTACGCTGTACGGGAACATCTAGAAATGGGAGTTTATTGTCAAGTTCTTTTTCCAACGTGAATTTAATTCCCGGAACGGTTGAATTGATTGTGTCGTGGAGTATTTCTAGTTGATCCGTTTTAACGACGACAAACGTGCCACGTACAAGAATCTCAGAGAAAAGTGGAAGAGACGAAAGCCGATCAATACGGACTGACACGACGGCAGCTTACTAGCTGAGCCACCAAATGAGTATTGATTTTGTAGCACGTTTGAAATTTTAATTGTTTTCAGCACATTTACTCTAGTCTGACGACGACACGGGGAACCGACGTCGAAAATTTACTCAATAAAGTTTTCTCCCTTTCCCAAAGAACGTTTTTGATTTCAATATATATATATATAGGAGATAGACAATGCTTTGGAAAGCCTTTTACAGATATACGGGTGAAACACATGCACAGGACAGTTCGACCATCGATTTCGATGATGTCCACCGTGTGCCCCACAGACTGCATTGTGGGAGCAGGGACGGTGACTTACGCAGGGGTTTATAGTGCCAGTAGACTTGAGTAGCATCTACCTACACTCTCTCCTCCTCCCCGTCTGAGCCCGGTGTCAAGACCAAGTCAAGAAGACCGGAGACGGGGGAGGCCGCAGGTGGATGGCTCGGACGGATCCTCGCCTTGGCGCTCCACTCCGCACCCCCTGGTCCACACACAAGTGACCAGGATTTTGACCACAAAACAATGGGGTGATGGCTGTGGTCCAGTTGTGCGGCGATTGCCGACAACAGGATCTGCCATCGCACCCCGCAAATGTTGGCATTTGTTATTGCGCACAGATAACGCCTGCCAGAGTCCGATGTGGCCCCGTGTTGGTCCAGCGCATCTAACACGTTGCCCGTTTGTAGGGCACACATGCACATATATACATAACAGCTATGTCAGTAATTGATATCGGATAAATATTTGACCATCAAGCATAAATCTATCAAGCCCTTTTTGAAGGTCGAAAACATTTCCGCTAAGAAAACAGAGTTTGGCAATTTCTTTCATTCTTCAACCAGCCGGTGGGAGAAGAATTTGGCTCGCACTTTAAGTTTTGCATACTTTATCTCCAGTTTATGTTGGTGGTCTCGAAGACTGGTCGTTCATGCCAGATCGAAGAAATCACCAAGCTGAAGGGCGCAGTCTAGCCCTCTGACGATCCTGAAGGCCATAGTCATAGATCCCCTGTATTGTCTAAACAAAAGCCAAAATATTTTTAACTTTCCCAGGCGTCCTTGATAAGATAAGCAACCTAATCCGCCGACCAGTTCGGTTGCTGTTTTCTGTACGTCCTTCAAAAGAGTTTAATCTTGTTTCATTCAGGAACGCCACGCCTGAACACAATATTCGAACATTGGCCGAACCAATTTTCCAAATACTTGACCGGAAAGCTCTTCGTCAAAATTAAGGAAGGATCTCCTAATCATATCTAGGATATTCATGGCCTTCTTTTAAACCTTGATGCAGTGGGACGACGGTTTAAGGGTCGACGTCGTTCATACACCAACGTTTATTCACTCATTGACTGATTCGAGATGGTGACCTTCTATGAGGTATTGATATTCAAATCTCAACGGCCTCCTGGTGCTAGACCGTGGTCAGATAACTTGACATTTTTGAAATTCGATATTTAGAGACTACCCATTAAATAATTTTTGCAAGAAATCCAGGTTATTTTGCAACTGTAGCGGGTCTTCAGGCATCTCTATTGATTTTCACTATTTGAGGTCATCGGCAAACATTACACGCTGGAAGTTCAGGCACTTCAGGCAGTCGGCCACATATATTAAGAACAGAAACGAACCCAGAACATTCCCCTGCGGAACGTCATTGCGAACGGTTGAGCACTACGATATAACCTCACCAATGCACACACGTTGAGATCAACCTCACTCAGTGTAGAGGGCTTACCGGTAACTTGCGGATAAGTTGCTGGAGTTTTCCAGTGTCATCAGCGTTCGAGGCCAGTTCCATGGAGGTCGCTATTTCAGCCCAATATTGCTTCCGGTCATCCTTGGCAAATTTTGCCGTCATCTTCCGAAGTTGGCGGAAGCAGTCATCATTGCGGGACCTGGCTCTAGCCATCTGAGCAGACAACTGCAGGGTTCTTCCGTTGATCCAGTCACTGCGGCGTCACTGGGTGTATCCAAGGCTTTTCTCAGCTGCCCGCTTGACTGACGTCTTCAGTGACAACCACTGGTTACTGTTTCTCCATCGGCTCGGGCCGTAAAAAAGGACCGGATTTCTCTGCTCAGGAGCTCAGCAGTGCTGGTTTGCTGAATGTTTGCGACATCGGGGCATCTAGGAAGTGGCATGTTTGGCGCGGATGAAAGAGGAACTTTTAAGCATGTACGAACGAGAACATGGTCCGACCCATGGGCGTTACCAGTTTCGGCACCACGCATCGATCTGTTATCGTCAACCCAGCTGCGGAACCTTAAGCTAACTAATATGTAGTCAATCTGGTTACCGTATAACCGTCGTTTGAATACCAGGTCAGCAGATGTTTTTCGCGGGGCTTGAAACATGTTTTAATGACAAGCATTCGGTTTTGATCAACGAAATTCATTAATCTCTCACAATTTTCACATCAGGAAACAAACCTAAAGCGACCAAGAAGATGACTGGTTGTAGGGTAGCCAGGTCCATTTCGGCCATTCCAATCGTCAGCAACGATCGGTAGACCTCAGCGAGGCAATCTTTCAACTAACGCTTGCAAATGCGAGTAAAACGTCTTCTAATCGCGCTGTTCGGCAGCTGAAGTCGTTGCGTACACAGAGACGACGGAAATGTTCGTGAAGTGACCCTTCAGGCGCACGTACGCCATCCGGTCATTGACTGGTTCCCAAGCAAGTAGCGCGAGGTCCGCCTGTTGTGATAGGGCGATCGCCATACAGTGTCGACCAGAAGAGTTGCGGGGACCCCTTTGGTAAAGGCAAAGTGTGATTCGACTCCAGGGATCTCTATTTCGCGGCAGTTGAGTCAGAAAGTCGAACTTCCGACAGACAGCAGGCATCCACGTTGTACTGATCAGGGCTGCGCGCGGTTAGACTTTGGGTACCCGGGTCCAGAAACGTTCGCACATTCCAGCATCCAATGCCAAGAGTCCGTCAACGATTGAATAATCCAGCTGGCATACTATTCGCCCGCAACAGTGAACCGTGTTTGCGGAGCGCGTCGGTTCCCGCGGACGCCGTAGGGTCGGTCATAATACTGTGATCGGACATATTTCATGAGGTTTCTTGGGAATTTCGAATACAGGCGGGTCCCCAACATCTACTGGGATTGTTTGTCCGAGGTTGTTTCCTCTTGCGCTTTGGCTTAAAAACCTAACCACAAGGCAGTGGTGGAAAGCAAACTTATGCAATGGCGGTTTACGGTCGCCATGTCACAATGTCGTCATTGGGCTTTGCGGCTTTTTATAAGGCTTTCAGCGTGCCAGACCTCAGCCCACCACACCCTGGTAGCAATGTCACTATTGGTCCGCGACTGCTTATTCGTCAGACCTGAGTCTGCTTATTTCGCAGCTAACCTTCACTGAAGTTTGCTCAACTATCCGCCACCTGTGGACGCGCCCGGTAGCCGGCAGCTAAGCTAACGAGCAACTCGTCTTCCCGGTGGA